GTTCAGTTTATGGTTCAAGATTGATCCTTGAAAATATGATTTTCTAAATAGGGAATACGATTTCCAGTTGAAGGGAGAGAAAAATTTTTGAAATTCGCCCCTTATTCCGCAATCTTTGGGCGTCCATAGGATGGATCTCTCATCCCTTCATTTACACGATGCAACAGGGGAACTGAGATTGAACTTGAGAGATCGCTGWAGAAAGGGATTTCCACCGTGAAGTTCGATTGAAAATGAACAGAAAAGTCTCAGATGATTGCTACCATGGTCGACTCTGGTCTGATTCTAACTCTGATTCGATCAACGCCATTGAGAGATCTCCATAAACGCCGCCATGAACCAATTGTCTTCTAATAACTCGAAGCTTGATGGTAAGAACAATGGGGAATAGAGGGAAGTCCGGTTGCCACTGATCATGTGTGAATGAAATTGCTGTGACTAATCGCAGTGGAAAAAAATGATGCCGCTAATCCACCGCTAGCGAGAGGTAGAAACCGCCGCTCCGCTAGTTCGAGGGGAGAAGAGGATGAACAGTAGAAGTGTTCGAAGAGTAAGGGAGTTGGCGAGTAGCTGGGGAAATCTAAAAATGTTGCAAGACAATAGTATGAATAATGTAGGGTGAGAGGAAATCCCAAAATGATGAGAAATCACCGAAAATATGAAGAACAGACTTGGCACCACCACTGGGTTCCTTGTTCACGTTGGGGAAGACGATGAACAGAAACCATGAGTGGCATGTTATCGATTTGGGGAAGTGACACTAGTAAAAAGGAAGAGGGAGAGAAAGATGGGAGAAAACGACGAGAGATAAGGGGATTGGAGGTGGAGAAGGTTGCCGTCGTCGCCGCTATGTGTCTAGTGGAAGAGAAGATGAATAGTGGTGAACAGTGTCCCCCCGAATTGATTTCGGCCCCTCGTCAAAAGACCTGTTCATGGCCGGGCCAGGCCGGGCTTTTACTCTTCATAAACGGGATTTTGTTAGGCCTAAGCCCGAGCCAGGCCCGACCAATGGGCCTACAACTTGGGCCCGAGCCCTGTCTTAATAAAAAGCCCGAAGCCCGACCTAACAGAAAGATGGTTGTCGGTGCTGAGTTCGCGTGACTGTGTTTTCCGGTGCTGAGTTCGTAATGATAAAGCTAAGTTGAGATTTTGACAGTGAAAAGGAAAAGTGATTTCGCGAGTGAGAGAGAGAGAGAGAGAGAGAGAGGACTCACCGCCACCACCGATGCCTGTGTTTGCCACCTCGCCGGTGCCTGAGTTCACATCTGAGATTCTGAGAGAGAAGGAGAAGTGAGAAGAGGAATGAGAGAGAGAGAGAGAGAGAAAGAGAGAGAGAGAGAAAGAGAGAGAAAGAGAGAGAAAGAGAGAGAGAGAGAGAGAGAGAAAGGACTCACCGCCAGTCCGTCGGAGTTCACTGGTTGCGCGGGTGAGTGTTCGTTGGTTCTGCCTGCCTGAGAGTGTGAGGTTGTGACTGTGAAAACTGAGAAGAGAGAACTTAGGTTCGCTAAGACTAAGAGAAAGAGATGAGTGAGAAGAGAGGGGTTAGGATATTTAGGGTTAGGGTTTTTGGTTTAACTTAAAGGTCGGGCCGGGCTATTTTGACAAATCTCGAGCCCGACTTGAAATAATTTCGAGCCGAGCTTTTAGGCTGGAGGTCAAGCCTGTGGGCTCAAATTTGTGTTCGAGCCAATCYGGGGGCTAGGCTGGTCCATTGGGCTACCCGACCCATGAACAGGTCTAGTCATCAGAGACCAAATCAGCCCCCCCCACAAGATTGCCCACCCCCCACCACAATGTCCCACAGCACATCCCCGCCATGTATTGGGAACATCTCCCAATGATAATACCAAAAATGATGATGTCATCATCAGGGAGATGTTCCCAATACATGGCGGTGATGTGTTGTGGGACATTGTGGGTGGCTAATTTGAACTCCATCATCAGAGCGATTGCTTGATTKTATAAAGGGGGCGATGGCAAGTTCATAATTTCTAGGAAATCGAAAGGTAGTTTTTGGTAATTTCATGAACTTGGGTCAACGTCAGTCTAGGGTGGTCAAACCAGGGTTTTGGTCCAATAAGGAGGGGTTTAGGTCAAAATGTGGAGGGTTGATATGGGTCTGACCGTAGAGAGGGTTTTGTGTGTATGAGTYAGTGAAATCGGCCAAAACGGAATATTTTTTTATGAATGGGCAAACATGGGTATTTTGGGCTGAAATTTGGTAGGATGGGGTTTTTGGACACGCTGAGTTGATTGGTGGTGTCGGATTGGATCAAGTGGGCTCGGATCTGGCATATCTAGAAAAGGGCATGATTTGATTTATTTGGGGCCTTAAATTGGAGTCTAGGTGCGATGGAGGGGTAAACAAAGGTATTTCGAGCTAAAGTTTTACATGTGGGTATTTTAAAGTATCCKAGACTTGGTGGTAATGTCTGATCGTTCTAGGAGGGACCAGATCATGGGAAATTGGGTCAACGATAAGGTCTAGAACGAAATCTTGGTTTGTTGGAAGGGTAAACGGGAGAATCTTGGGTTGAAATTTTATGCGTAGGTGTTTTAGTATGTCTAGGGCTCAAATGTATGGTCTAATTGGCTCAGATATGTTGAGATCAAGGGAGTTTGGGTTGAGGTGGTGTCTGATCTAGGGTTGAGGTGTAAATGAGGGTTGTTCGAGGTCATCAGATTGGTATCAGGCAGGCTTACGATGGATTTGAGGGTTCTTGGATTGAAAGTTGGGCTTTTTGGGTATTTGGACGTTTCGGAGAGACTAGAAGGGTCTAATTGGGAGTTCAAAGTCAATTGGGTTTCAGGCGATAGACCTAACAAAAATGGAGTGCTGAAAACATTGTTTATTCAGATTTATGGGGATCATCCTTAGTAGTTTCTCATTCTGGTTATCAATATTATGTCACTTTTGGTGATTCGTTCAGTTAGTTCACATGGATATTTCCAATTGTTCATATGAGTGATGTGCCTTTACTGTTTATTATATTTCTCAATCAAGTTGAGCGTTTATTCAACTGCAAACTTAAAATTTTCCAAACTAATGGAGGGTCTGAATACAAATGCCTAAAACCATTCTTTGAAGAGCATGGCATGATACATCACACCTCATGCCCACACACCTCTAAACAAAATAGATTTGCTGAATGCAAGCACAAATATATTGTTGAAACTGGATTAGCTTTATTAGCTCATGCATCCATTCCCAAATGATACTAGGTATGAGGCATTTCACATTGTAGTTCATTTAATTAATCACATGCCAACTAAGGTTCTTAACTTTCAGTTTCCATGGGAATGCCTCTTCCAACGGAATCTAGATTTCCTCTTATTGAAAATTTTCATATGTGAGTGTTTTCCCTACACCTGACCTTACAACTCTCATAAACTGGAGTTCCGAAGCACTCCCTATTTCTTCCTTGGTTACTATGATAACTTCAAAGGGTTCAAGTGCTTTCATAGTCCCACCAGCAAGCTTTACATCTCTCAGCATGTCGTTTTTAAAGAAGAAAATTTTTCCATTTCCACACACTTCATCCCCAACATCATACTCACCCTCGCTACTACAATCTCTTGTTGAACCACCTCTTATAGTGCCTCCTTCTATTCGACACCCTGATCCATCTGAATTGTTACCTACTCCCTTAACCGAACCATCTCCATTGGAAGCACTACCATCTAACTAAGGTGCACAATACATAGTAAAACCACTTCTCTCACATTAAATCACATATCTAAGGTATATTCTCTCATTAAATAAGTCCTATATTTAAGATATATTTTCTCTTCATTAAATTCTACTAATTAAATATACAACATTAATTTTAATATCATAAGAAAAAATATTTTAAAAAGTAATTTGAAAACAAAACCATTTTCTTCCCTCTAGTAGTGAATAGGCAATTCAACCATTTGGGTCAAAAGGGTTAACCAAAAATGCCATAATTAAATAATAAAAATTAAAAATACAAAAAATATGAAAATACGAAAAAATGAAATGACCATTTCTCTAATATTATATATTCATTATAAAAAAGAAAAATAAATATTATATGTAAGAAGTATTTTTATTAATGATGAAAATAGAATGTCAACCCTAAACTCAACCTAAAAATGAAATGAATAACCAAATAATAAAAATTTTAAAAATAGAAAATACAAAGAATCAAAAAATAAAGAAAAAATAGAAAAAATGGGCACTTATTTGATGTTATAAATTTATAAAAGATAAAATATTGGTTACATTTCTAATATTATACATACATGATACATAACAATTAATCTTATCAATGATGAAAATTATGTCAAACTAAGAACATAAAATATTGGACACGTCTCCAATATTATATTGTAATTATATCAAACAAAACTTAAGTATGACAAACAAAATAATATTTATATAGTATAGAATTAATAAATATATAAAAAGAAAAGCTACTTTCCTATCTAGATGATGGGTCAATGATCCAACCTTTTGAGTCAACTCATGATGTCATAATTGAATAATAAATATTTAAGAAAGATGGAACACAAAAAATGAAAAAAGTATAGAATTTTGTTGAAAGCATTTGAGAACATTTCTAATGTTATATATATTCATCGTATTAAATAAAAATAAATAAATATTTTTATTAATTTTGAAAATGGAATACAAACTTTAACAAAATAATAATAATAATAATAATAATAATAATAATAATAATAATAATAATAATAATTGTTATTATAATTCAAAATTTTCATGTGCAAACGTACGTGTACATTTACTAGCTAGTATCAAACAAAAGTAGAAAATCACATATTCTCAATTTACAAAGCTTTGAGTCCATTATATATTTGGCTATACCTATACAAAGTAGCAATGGAGTTTAAAGGTTCAAACCAAGCATATTAAATGATGATTCATTAAAAACAATAGTGAAAGTAGGTAGTAGAGAAACCAAATGAAAGTGGGAAAGCCATGGCTATGGAGAAGGGGCTACATTAATTATATTATTCAAACCCAAGAGAAAAGATGAAGCTTGGGAGATGGAGTCGATCCATTAGCAGCTTTATTAATTTCTTGCAGCAGTTGTCTAATTCCTGGGGAAGATTGCGAAGTAGGTCTGGATGATGGTGAGAATGGTAATAAATATTGCACCAAAGAATGCAATCATGGTCCAAGGGGTACTGAAATGTTTGCGGTAAATTTCAGCAAACCGAACCCTCCAATAGTGTTGAATATACATTTTAAGATCCTTGGTAACATGTGAAAAGTCGTTAGAATCCACCACCTCCATGGCTAAATGGTTGATCAGTTCAGCCGCTTCTTCATCCTTACTGAGAGAATTGAGGAGTACACCGTCTGATCTCAGTACTCTCACATCACTAGCCTGATCAATGAGTGAGTCTAAGAAACAGATAAAAGAAGCTACCTTTGAATCACCCTGCAGAGAAGTTATTTCATAGGCTAACAAATTCAGAAACAAAGGCCTGGTTGAGTGATCAATGACAATCGGAGGAAGTGTCAAATCTCCAAAGATAAGGCCCCGCTGGAAACGGATACTGTTCAAATTAAACGATTTGCTCTTCTTGAAATTTATTCCTACCTCTTTAAGCTCGTCTGCGGAACGGATTGAATGCCAAAGAATATGCTCCTCATCTGTGTTATGGGCTGCCGGAAAGCAGTCCCAGAAATATACGAGCAAGTATTTAAAATCAAATCTGGATTGATATTTGTCACCTTCATCGACAACAAGTTTTTTCCGAAAAAGATCAAGGAGATGCTCAATGAACTTGTCATTCTTCTGGTGCTTTTGACGGCCACTAGAGCCGAAACAGATGAGTTTGTCAATGAACTTGTCAAAAATTCCATCTTGTGCATCTTTGGGGAATGCTTCCTTCATCAGTTCATCGAGGAAAAAATAAGGAAGTTGGTTCTCCAATAGAAACAAGTCAGTCCCTATGGAAAGCAAATCTTCGTTTTTCACCTCCCAGTTCTTGAGCTTATTATGAGTCACACAATGAATGAAATAGACCACGAAACAGCCATCCAAGAAAATGGCATGATTGAATTCTTCGTCATCCGTAAACTTCTCCGGCAAAAGACTCTCGTCGTAGCTCTTCTTTACACCCGTTGCTTTCATTTTGACATTCTGGTATAAATTATCTATATCACCTGTTGAAACCTGTGTTGATGTCTGCGTCTGACCTTCCAACATTCTTCTCTCTGAAACTAACATCTTTGCTATTTTTCTCTTCAGCTTCTCCATTTCCTCCAACCTAGCATTTCCATGGTGATAAGGGCCGATGGAGACCACCTGGGGATCGTAGAATATGCTGTTACCTTCCACCCGTTTCAATTTTTCCGGAACCTTTGGAAACTTTGTCTTAGATTTACCATTTTCTAACTCCGGGTTCTGTATGGATAATAGCCAGTCATTATGGTTTATATTCTCGGCCATTAAGATGTAGAAATAGATGTCAGGTTGAACAGATCTTCTGAGATCGATCACAGCACTCCTCTTCTCAGCTGCTGCTCTATGGAAGAAACTTTATTGGTTTTCCCTACATTAATTAGTCTAAACAATGCATTAGAACTGGGAACTATGCTTGCGAGCCATGCCAGCAGGGTTAAGCGAATTGAACTGGGTCTACCAACATTCAATTATTCAGATTCAAATCGAATTTTTTGGGCTCTACCCCAACTCGAATCTTTATGACTAGTGATCATACAGCATTCAAACCTACCCCTACAGATCATATTGATTTTATGTGAATATTATTCAATTATGTGATATTACTCGATTATTGTAACAAATTAAATGGGTTGAATCCTTTTTTTTTTCCAGTTATAAACTGATCAAATTCAGATCACCTGTGAATTGAATTTGGACTAATGGATTCCATTTGTAGTAAGGGATGTCAACTATATGGGATTGGCTGAATCTGAACCCAACCTGAAATATAATTGCTTCAACTCAAACCCAATCCCACCCAAAGGGGGAGTACCGAACCCATTACATCTATACTTAAACCATTTATATATAAATACTTAAATGCTACAATGTCAAACAGGTTGGGTTTAATATAGATTCACCTCAACCTGAACCCAACCCAAAACTCGATTAAGGCTCTCCTGATCCAAACCCTCGATGGGATCGGGTCAATGTGGATCTACTAAAATCCCAATGTATCAATGCATAAGTGTTTGAAGAAAGAAAACCAATTGATGTGATGTCTTCAATTTAATTCAAAAGATCGTTTTCCTTCCATATTTTGTCATAGAGAACAAGGATTGCCAGTTTTCAATCCATATGATTGCTTGTAAAACTTTATTTTAAAACTCATCAAAACTAGAATTTTACTCAAGACGTGGTTTTCCTTCCACGTTCACCAAAAATCCAAAACTCGACTGCTTTTTAACAAAGCGAGTTGAGTCCACTCAGATGTCGAGTTGACTCAATGAGTGTAGTACTATATATATTGGTTATCTGGGATACAGAAAGGTTTACATTTAATTACCATGACCCTGCAGAACCATATGTCGAAAAATGGTTGAGTTTCTTCCTTTGATTTGTATATAAATATAGCAATGGATTCTTATGTTTTGCTTCCTATAAGATACAACCATACAGCAATGGATTTGTTTGTGGTGTAAATCTGAATCGGATAGGTTCAGTTTTGCATCTAAAAAATTCATTAACTGATGCAAAATTTTCAACACCTTCCTACCTCAATTCTCTCTCATTAGTTTTGGCTTTTGATATTGGTACAATGTATCTTCTACCAATAGGACTGTGCCTTAAATGAATCACAGTGTATTTAATCATAAGGAATGACTCTGCTGAAGGAATTGTGAAGTACAATATATAAAGGGCTATATTGTACAGTGCTTATGTTATAGTAATGTTGAGGATTTTATTTCCCTTTTTTTTTGCTTTATGAGCCCGTCTACAGAAAAGAAACTACAAATTTTTCTTTTTCTCTGGCCAACAGCTACAAGTGATGAAACTATACTTAGCATTGTATTACGATAGTTAAAGATCACAAGTTTCTCTATGCACAGTGTATAAAAAAGTGTAGTGTGCTGTAGCAAAAGTAGAACCAACAAAAATAATAACTAAAAGGGTATCCAAATGTTAGACAATGTATGCCCTTAGCTCCAACCAGAATGATGTATTTTATGACATTTAATGTAAATGAATAAAGTATATATTTGATTCATGTTATTATAGTGTGTTTCTGTGTAATACCCTTAAACTAGATACATATTAGACTTGTGTTAGTTTAGAATCTTCACAGCTGTTGGATAGATCTAGAGAGATTTATCCTGCCAAGGTTGACACTGATGTGCCACCAAGTTGGTTGGGGTGGCTTGTCTCAACTGCTAGGGTGAGACTTGAGGTACATGCAGTGTGTGTTTTCTTGAAACCCTGAACCGGACCAAAATTCCAGTATTGCCCTGGACCTTAGAGATTGATGGGCAAAACTGTAATGTTACACCTGACCCCTAGACTCGATTATGATACTATACTAGGTGTCAGAT